CAGGAGTGGCGGCCTGGCGCCGGAGTCCCAGTGAAGGCTAAAGCAGGAGGATCACTGCCTTGTACGGGGGCAGGTTTGTTTGAGTTGCAAGGCCATTCTAGGCAGACACACACACAATGGTTAGAAGACCTGAATGTTTTTTCTACATTCAGAAAATTGGACACAATGGTTAGAAGACCTGAATGTTTTTTCTATGTTCAGAAAATTTGAGGAATTTAGGAAGAATTCAAATTCAAAAATCTCAGTTCTGCCATTTTTCAGTAGACATGAGCTGCAGTGGTTCTATAGTACAGGACAGTACATACCTCACGGGCTTCCGTGGTAGACAGGACAATGCCTACCTCGTGGAGTTGCGGAACTGAATGGGATGGTTAAATTATTAGGAGAGTTGGGCATGGTAGTGGATACCTTTAATCCCAACAGCCAGGAGGAAGAGACTGACAGATTTCTGAGTTTAAGGCCAGTCTCTTACACTGAGTGTCAGGCCAATCAGGTCTCCACAGTGAGACCCAGCCTAAATAAATAATGCGGAGGATATACAGCTCTCTATAACACTGTCTTCAGTAAAAGCCACGAAAAAGCCAAGAAATCAGCCAATACTGCCCACCTTCTTGCCTGGGTGCCTCCCAAAAGAACTAAAAAGACCTTTAAAATAAGAGTTGATAGGCTGGGGCAGTGGTGGCACACACCTTTAATTCCAGCACTCGGGAGGCAGAGGCAGGCAGATCTCTGAGTTCGAGGACAGCCTGCCTGGTCTATACAGAGAAACTCTGTCTTGAAAAACCAAAATTAATTAATTAAAGTTAATAAGAGTTCAATCTTCAGTGCTTGTCTTGCAAGCACAGGGATCTGGAGTGGAGCCCCAGATGCATGTAAAAATGCCTCCATCCATCCCTGGAACCCCAGCACTAGGAAGGCAGAGAGAGGTGGAGCCCTGCGAATGGGGAGGCCAGCCAGTCTAGCATAACTGGTCAACTCCAGGTAGGCACGAGAGATCCTGTCTCAAAGGAGGTGGACAGCATTTCTGAGAGCAGTGAGGTTAACCTCAAGCTTCCACATGTACATACAACATGAACACAGACCACTAATCCTAGCACATGGGAGGCAGAGGTCAGGATCAGTTTTGTATACTTAAGTGACCAACCTGGGCTCAAAAATCTTGTCTCAAAAATGAGAATAATACATGAGGCTGGAAGACTGAGAGTTTGAAGCAATCTGAGCTACACAATAAGACCCTGGCTCAAAAAGGGGAGGGGACTGAGGATATGGCTCCCTAGTCTAAGGTTTCAATCCCCCCCCCTCAGCCATGTACACGCACATGTGCACACAGACGGTGACTTTGAAGTAAGATTGAATAACAACGTATGTGCCTCCTTTGAGGGACATTAACTCAGATTATCCTGCCATCTCGAACTAGTCATTTGCCGAAGCAACTTCCCAGGTCAGGGCTGGGGTGACTCCCAGATGCTACCACTGAAAATCAGAACTGGTCTCAACAGAGCCACTGGCCTTCTTTTGTCCTTGTTGCGTCCTGTCTGGGACACAGGTGCTGGGATCCAGGTGAGCCAATAGGAAAGGCTGAAGATTGGAGACATGAGCTATATGCAAGGCCATGGGTTCCATCTCCATTATTTCTTTAAAAATTTATTTATTTTATATATATACCCGCCAGGAGATAGCACCAGATCTCTTTACAGATGGTTGTGAGCCACCATATGGTTGCTGGGAATTGAACTCAGGACCTCTGGAAGAGCAGCCAGTGCTCTTAACCTCTGAGCCATCTCTCCAGCCCCTATCTCCATCATTTTTTTTAAAAAACATTTATTTATTTATTATGTATACAATATTCTGTGTGTATGTCTGCAGGCCAGAAGAGGGCACCAGATCTCATTACAGATGGTTGTAAGCCACCATGTGGTTGCTGGGAATTGAACTCAGGACCTTTGGAAGAGCAGGCAGTGCTCTTAACCTCTGAGCCATCTCTCCAGCCCCTCCATCATTTTTTTAAAGCACTTTCCCCTCTTAAGTCAGTATAGTTGGCTGAAGATTTTCGCTGGCCTTCAAGGGGCTGCGGTCAGAACCATAGATGTCCCATGACTCACACTTGAGAGCACGCTCTGGTCCTGGAGCCTCCACTATGCATCTGCCTGGAGCATAATAATGTCCAGGCTCTTGGGCATGCCCTGCTTAGTTAGCTGGCCTCTCAAGTTTTATAAGCTACTAGTGGGCAGTGCTATGTTCCCTTGGCTATTGCTCCTGCAAAATCTAAATAAAGCAGGCAATGCAGCCGGGTGTGGTGGCAGAGGCTGGCAACTCTGGTATGCGGAGGTTGAGGCAAGGAAAGCCTTTCTTAGAAGAGCCTGAGGTCACTTTCGTTACTTGCCCAGTGCAGGCTCCTGGATTACACCTTGGGTGTGCTGGCTGGCTGTACATCTTAGAAAGGGGACATGTAACATCCACTGATTTGGGAAGTCTGTATTATCTTTCTTTAGGGCTAAGGCTCAAAAGCCATCAAAGCTCTCGGGGTTGATCAACTTTGTCTTTTTATGTATATGTACATATATATGTATCATACATGTACCCATGTATGACGTGTGTGAGGATGCCCATATGTAAGAAGAGAACATCTCGTCTCCTGGAGCTGGAGTTACAGGCAGTTGAGAGCTACCCAACATGGGTCCTCTGCAACACCTTTCTAGACAGTTTTTGTTTTTCAAGACAGGATTTCTCTGTGTAGCCTTGGCTGTCCACCTGCCTCTGCCTCCCAAGCACTGGGACTAAAGGCTTGTGCCACCACTGCCTGACTTTTTTGTGGGGGTGGGGCTCCATGAAGGAGGATCACTCCACTGTCAAGGGGCTAATGGCTGTTGAAAACACCTTAATACTGTCCCTTTTGTTTCAATTGCTTTGCATCTGGTTCATGAGGACAAAGGATCCGACTATTGAGCGTCTTACTTGAAATAGCTTTTACAAACAGTACAGATCTCCCAGGGGGGAGGTTGGTTCCTGGGGAACAGGACCTGGTACTTGGGGTTAGTGGCTTAGGTCTCCTGCAGGGCAGGTAGGCACTGAAGATGGTATCCATGATGGAGAAATCCTAGTGGAAAACCAACTGCGTGTTTAAAGTAACTGACAGAGATATCCAACAGGTACTTTTACCATTTGTTTTTGTGTGACTACCAGTGCATGCAGGCCATGGTGCACAGGTAGAGGTCGAAGCAACCTATGGGAGCTGGTAGGCAGAGGTTAAAGGGCAACCTATGGGAGCTGGCAGGCAGAGGTTAAAAGGCAACCTATAGGAGCTGATTCCATAATGAGCTCTGGGAATCAAAGGTCACAAGGTTTGGGCTGGAGAGATGGCTCAGTGGTTAAGAGCATTGCCTGCTCTTCCAAAGGTCCTGAGTTCAATTCCCAGCAACCACATGGTGGCTCACAACCATCTGTAATGAGGTCTGGTGCCCTCTTCTGGCCTGCAGACATACACACAGACAGAATATTGTATACATAATAAATAAATAAATAAATAAATAAATGTCACAAGGTTTGTGTGGCAAATGGGCCCTCTTGCCAGGTTGTAACCAGTGTTTTCTTAATTATTATAATTAAGGACAGTGGCATAAAAATAAAAAGCAGGAGGCAGGTCTTCTTTCATCTGAGCAACAGATCAAGCCACAGAGTGACAGGCATGCCCAGTGGGCAGGTCTAAGGTCCCATCCCCCGCCCAGTTCCTTTCATCTCTCAAGTAGTGTCCTTCTAAGTAGAGGGATTCTTTCTAACAGAAGGGACTGGAATAATCCTCACCTAGTCACTTCCACTTTCTTGCTAGGCAAGGTCATGGGCCAGACAGAACAAATATGGATGCTTAGGGGCTGGAGAGATGGCTCAGGGGTCAAGAGCACTGACTGCTCTTCCAGAGGTCCTGAGTTCAATTCCCAGCAACCATATGGTGGCTCACAACCATCCATGAGACCTGGTACCCTCTTCTGGCCTGCAGGCATACATGCAGACAGAATCCTGTATACATAATAAATAAATAAATCTTTAAAAAAATATGGATACTTAAACCAAATAAAACTAGACTTAAATTCAAGCTCTGCCCTGGGTTGAACTGACCGTCAGCAAGTCACTCCAGAGGCCTCCTGTATAAAACATGATCCCCACAGAATTTAATGAAACTAACCCAAGGGCACAGGCTTGTAACCTCAGCTACTCAATAAGCTGAAGCAGGAGGGCCACCAAACTCAGAGCCTGCCTAGAATATATAGAGTGAGCCCAAGGCCAACTGGGCAACCAGCAAAACCTGTCTCAAAACGAGAAATGAGGATACAGCTTAGTGGTAGTGAGCTTGCCCAGCATGTGAGAGACCCAAGCGAATCTGCAGTTCTTGGGGTGTGTATGGAAGCTGAGTAGTTAAGATACCAGACAGACACTGACCAGGCATTCCATCACTTTCTTCCTACAATAAATGTCCATTGGCTGAGCCACAACTTGGTGTGGTGAGCCACGGCACTTTCTACTCTAGAAGCCATTACTCAGAACTTCCAACTCTGTTACTGGGTGAAGCCCAGGAGCTCCCCTCCACCACTGTTGCTGATCACACCTGACCCAAGTCTGCCTGCCTTCAGGGATCTAGTTTGAGAAATCCAGTTGCCTTTGTGGGATGCAACCACATCAGGCAGGAAATGGAGGCTAGGGCTGAGAGGCGCACCAATGTTTCTCTCGATGTTCCAGCAACACCTGCTCCTTCAACACCCAGATTGCTTAAAGATTTTTCTTAGGCCGAGAGGCCCTCTAGTGGCAAGACATGCTGTCTTCATCTGACACAAGAGGTCTGTTTCAAAGAACCATGCCATGGACTCTGGCTGCTTTTTCAATCCAGCAAACTGTACCAAGTTCTATTGGGGTGCTAGGGATCCGGCCAGGGGAGGTCAGCTAGTGTCTGGTCTCAGGATACCCCAAATCCACCCTACATACTCGGCCTGACAAAAGCACAAAAATGTCCAACTCAGTCTTTATTGACTGCTTCATTTGGAGACCACCAAACAAGTGGAGGTGGGGAGGGAGAGGGGTCCTTTATGTATCAAGGACCCCAGAGCAACCCCCTCAGAGAAGAGAATAAATTTAGTTACAGAACTTATATGGTGGTGGAAAGGAGAGAGGGGTACAATATATACACAGGTTTTAAGGGGCTGTTGGAGACCTGCAGCATCAGGGCTTGGTGACGCTGAAGAGGAAAATGGGGGCCAGTCAGCTGCTGATCTGGACCCCTTCAGCCTCCGCTAACGGGTAAATCTCAATGGCCTCCACGAGGGGCAGAGCCTCCACTGCAGTTTCCATCACAGCCAGGCCCACAGCAGCCTCTGCCTCTGCCAGCTGCTGCCGCACTGCAGCCTGGTGCTGCTGCTGGTGAGTCTTGCGGTGCTTCCAGAGGTTGGAGAAGGAGCGGTAGCTCTTGCCGCAGTCAGGGCAGGAGTAGGGCCGTTCACCCGTGTGAATGCGGCGATGTTCTGCCAGGCGCATGGAGATGGCAAAGGCCTTGCCACACACTTCACAGGCAAAGGGCCGCTCACCTGTGTGTAAGCGCCGGTGGTCTTTCAGATGGGTACTCTGGCGGAAGGCCTTGCCACAGTCTGGACACGGGTACGGCCGCTCGCCTGTGTGGATCCGTCGGTGCACCTGCAGTGATGTCTCTGTGCTGAACAGCTTCTTGCACTCACTGCATTCTAGGCCACGCCGCCGGGCAGGGGCTGCAGGGGCAGCAGAGGTTGCACCACCAAGGGCTGTTGGGGACGGAGTGACGGGTGTGCGAGTAGCCCTCGAGGCCCTGGGAGCCGGAGGTTCCTTAGCCAAGACTTCTCCAGGACCAGCAGCAGCATGGGCAGCTTCATGGGCCTGCAGACGAGCAGCAGAGCCTACTTTCTTGCCACAGGTCCCACACTCAAAGCGCCGTGGGGCCTGGGCGGCAGCAGCTGCGCACCGATGCTCATAAAGCCGCAGTGAGGAGGGGAAGGCAGCCCCACAAGATGGGCAGTGGTGGGGCTGGCGCCCAGCATGGACCACAAGCTGGTGTACCTCTAGCAGCCGGCGCAGCAGGAAGGAGCGGGGACACTCACGACACTTGTAGGGGTACTCGCCTGTGTGGTGGTAGCGGTGCATGAGCAGGCGATAAGGGCGGTGAAAACGCAGTCCACACTCCTGGCAGCGGTAGGGGAAATGCTGGGCATGCACCAGGCGATGCTGTCTCAGAGTGGAGCTCTGAGTGAAAGCCTTGCCACAGTCCCCACAGCGGTAGGGTCGTTCCCCTGTGTGTGTGAGCCGGTGGCGGGCCAGGTTGGCAGGTGAGTTGAAGGGTTTGGAGCAGTCAGGGCAGGGGAAGGGCCGTTCCCCAGTGTGTGTGCGCAGATGGTTCCGCACATGAGACTTCTTCTTGAACATCTTGCCACAAATGCTGCATTTGTGACGCCGTTCTAGTCGGTGCACAAAACGCTGGTGCCGGGTCAGCTGCAAAGCCTTGACAAACTCACGGCTACATAGGAGGCAGCGGTAAGTGCCTGGAGCCGCAGGCTCTGCTGGGTTCTCCTCAGACACCGGGAGCTCTGGGGCCTCTGGCTCTTTGGTCTCGGCAGGGGCTGGCTCAGGAACACTAACGGCAGGCTCCTCTGGCAGAACTGGTGCTGTGGGCAAAGGGACACCTCCTGCTCCATGGGTACGCCGGTGATAAAGGAACTTGGTAAGGTTGACAAAGGTCTTCCCACAGGGACATGAATGCAGAGGATTTGGAGTATGGGCTCGCCGGTGGGCCAAGAGAAGGGCTTCTGTGCCAAAGGCCAGGCCACAGTCTACACATAGGAAATGAGATTCGCTGCTATGGTCGCCAAGGTGCTGATCCAGACTAGAAGGGCTAGGGAAGACACGACTACACAGAGGACACTTAAAGACACCCTCCCGGTGGCTCCGAAAGTGCTGCTGCAGCTGGTGGGGTGAAAGGAAGAGCTGGTCACAGGCAGAGCAGAAGAGTTCCTGGGTGGCTGCTGTACCTGACTCTCCACTGTTGTTCCTCCGGGGCTTCCGCCCCCGTCGATCCCGTCCAATGGTCTCCCCATTGCGCAGCTCATAGCTATGGTCAGAGGTTGGCAAGGGGTCGGGTAGAGACGCTGGCACCTCGGTGGATGAGGGGATCAGGGTTTCCTGCTTTGTAGCAGGCTCCTCGGCCTCTGGGACGGCAGGGAAGTGGGTGGCCTGGTGCTCCAGAAAGTCAGCCGGCAGCTGGAAGAGCTGGGAGCACTCGGAGCACTTGTAGAGGAGCAGCTCCACTTCTGTTACCATCTCAGTCGTGGCGGCAGCCGCAGACGGAACAGCTGCCCCCTCCCCACCTTCTTCGGCTTTTCGGTATGAATGTTCCACAGCTACTCGGGCCTGGCCCACAGGGGAGCCTAAGACAACTGGAGACCCCAAGACAACGGGGGCAGGAGCCTTGGTGGGGGTGGCCCTGAGGTGCATCTGCCGATGGTTCAGCCACAGCTCCTGGCTGGCAAACAGAGCCTTACAATCCACACACTCATAGTGGATGGTGCTGGAGCTCAAGGGGGGCACCTTGGGGGAAGGCTCAGCGGGCACTGCCTCCTGGGGTGCCATCATCTTCAAGTGTAGCTCCTGGTGCTCCAGGAGCTGGCTAGGTGACAGGAGCAGCTGTCCACACTCAAGACACTGGTACTGGCTCTCCTGTATGAGGGTCTGATATAGGCCTGTGCCTGAAGCTGCCTCTGTGGCCACTGTGACTCCAGGGTCAGCCACGCCCACCACCTCAAAGTGCTGCTGGGGCACATGGGAGTTCTGGTGCACAAGCACCTCCTCCAGGGAGCCATAGAGCTGGTTGCACTCAGAGCAGACATAGCGGTGCTCGATATACAGGAATGTTTCCTCGCTCTCCTCAGTCATGGCAGCAGCAAGGCCCTGGGCTGAGGGAAGGGAGGGTGGAGACAAGTCAATCCTCCAGGGCAGTTCTTTCCCTGTGTCACCTCACCTCTACATTCTAAACCCTCAGACATACTTCCTCCTCCAACTTCTGGATTAGATTTTCCACTCCAACACTCTCCCTAAAAATCCTTCCTTCCTTGAACATAGCAAACAGGCAACACAAATTTCTCCAGTGGTCTTTTCCTAGAGACCCCACCCCAAAATCTCCCTTCTCAGCAAACTCCACCCACCAGATCCTAGTTAATCCTCTCCTCTCCGTTCCCACGCCTCAGAACAGGTTCCCAAGGCCCTGTCCACAAAACAGGAGCTGCTTTCCCTGTGATACAGACCTTCCTGTATCACCATTGCCCGGGACAACACTCCTTTGCCAGTCTACCCACAGAGTCCTCACTCCCCTGGCCTGTTTCCCAGCTGCCCTCCTACATGGATTCTGCTCTTCCTCATAGGCTCAGGCCGCTCAAACTGGTGTACAAACCAACATCCCTACTCTACCTTAGGCACTGGTAGTCTGGCCTCCTCTTGCCACGCAACCTCTGCTAACCAACCAGTGCCCAGATTCCTCACATCAAGTCACCCAATCTCCAATTTTCTCTCCCTCACTCAATCCATCTCCAGACTTCCTACCTTAACCATTTCCTGGTACTCAAAGACTCTTAAATTAAAACTGGTTCAAGCTAAGCACATCAAGACCTTCTCAGCTGGGCAGTGGTGGTATACACCTTTAATCCCAGCACTCAGGAGGCAGAGGCAGGGAGATCTCTGAGTTTGTTGAGTTTGAGGTCAGCCTGGCCCACAGAGCAAGTTACAGGGCAGTTACGCTACACAGAGAAATTCTGTCTGGAAAATAAGTAAGTAAAAGCCCCCCCGTATCATCAACCTTTACCTAAAACAAACTCCAGAGAAGCTCAATCTTTTATATCTAGACTATTCTCACCCTCCTCATGCCCTTCTCCCTCCATCAAGACCCTCTGAGCACCCGGATCTCCTTTTCTCGGTGGCATGACTCCCTCTTTTTCCTAAGGCCACCACAACTCATCTAGGGATGCCTATTATGGGCTTTTTTTGGGGGGGGGGAATAACAAAACTACCCTTTTCTGGATTAAGGTCCAGGCCAACGTTACAACCTTAGCCCATCCGATAAGCCCGTAACAGTATCAATCTAAACCTTTCTTCTTTTGAGAAAAGATCCAAATCTATCCTAACCCACTCCAGGAACTTTCAAATCCCCATTCCATATAAATTTGTCCTTTTTGCAAAGAAGATCCCCCCCACACTAATCTTGTCCAGGGACATCCAAACTATCCTTCACAGTGGCTTAACCTTTCCCCTCTCGCTGTTTCTACTCTCTTCAGGGCTCCCAATGTCTCTCCCATAAAAACTCCATCAGTACCCAAAGACTGCAAAATGAGCCCCCTCTTCTTCATAATCCTCACTAGCCTATGACTATGGGGATACCCAGAATCCCAAAGTTGTCAGTATGTCACATCTCATTCTCAACCCCAACAGTCCCAGACTACCACCTTTCTCTCTCCCCAGTTACAACCAGGACTACTTCACTTTGGCCTACTTACCTGTACCTAAAACAAAACAATCCCTCCCCAGTTCAACCTACGGATACCCGTGAGAACATAAAGACAGTTGTCAGTACTTTCCGAGGGTATTCCAACCTCCAATTCCGTGGATTTATTGGCCTTCCGTATTAATTTAACCCCATTTTCCACACCTGGACCGCTCTCTTAGTTCTAAAGATACCTCAAACCCCTTCTCTGCTTTAGTTCTTTCCAGGCAAAAATCGATTTCCCTCCCTGCATTCATTACCTCCTTTCTCGGGCCACCTCCCCACCCCAGCAACCAAGAGCCCTCCAATCATCCTCTTTCGATCCTGGACCCATTCCAGCGCACCCACCCGTGGCCCCGGTACCCCATGCAACCAGAGAGCCCTCCGCCGAGGCAGCTCCGGGACCTCCCCTTCCCGCCAAGGTCGGTCCCCAGCCCGCAGCCCGAGCCCTGCCCCTCCTCACTCAGCCCCGCACACAACTCCAGTCCCTCTACCCCAAACACCGCCCCGGCCTGGCCCCCGCCCGGCCCGCGCGCCCAGCGGCCAACGGCCGCTCCGCCTTCCGCACCCGGGGCGCGCTCCTCCAGGCCTTCAGCGTGCAGACCGAATGACGCGAGCGAGGCGCGGGGTGGGGGCCGGGCCTCCGCGCTCCCGCGGGAACTCACCCGCCTCGGCCGTCTAGCCGGCCCCAGGCCGGGCCGCGGGCTGCAGCTCCCTTCGCACAGCCACTCTAGCACCGCGTCCTCTCTAGCGCCCGTCGTCTCGCCTGCTCCGCAACCTCGCTCTCGTCCGGGGCCCTCTCTCAACAACGCCCCTCCCACCTTCCGCCTCGCTGACTGCGCAATGCGCCCAATCACCGCCCTCCTGGCCCTGCCGTTAGACCAATCGGCGCTCAAGTTTCTGAGGACTTAGCCAATAGCGAGGAGGAGCGGGATCAGGCCGCGCCCAGCCAATCCTCTAGCAATATTCCCCCACCGCTCGGCCTCCAGGTAGCTAGTGCCCGCCCCTTTAGGCCTCCCAAGAGGATCCTCCCCTCCCAAGTCTTCTTGGACTCCGCCTTTGATGGTCGAAAGGGCACCGCTGAACAGAGAGCTGCGCGATGACGTCGGGAGGCGGGACGAGGCAGTAGGCGCCATCTTGGGGGCGCCCGGCAAGCCTGGTGTGGGTTATTGAGACGCACCGCGCTCTGTAGGCCGGCGGATTACAGCCCAAGATCCCCCGAGGGCCAGTGGCAGGAACTGAGACACCTCTCGGCGGGAATGGGAGCGGGGACCAAGCAGGAGCAGTCAGGCCGAGTGAAAGGGGGAAACTGAGGCTTAAAGATTTCATTTTTTTTTTATTAAGGGGGGGATGAAAAAGGTAGGGAGGAAATTAAGGCAGGGCGGGATGGAAAGAAAATGTTAGGAAAGGAAGTTTAGGGGAAGAGGAAAACCTAAAGTACGTGGCAGAAAGCGGAAAAAGGTAGGAGAGAGAAAAAGGAAAAGCTCGTTAGTGTTATGCCCAAATCCGTGGGTCCCCACAAAAGCCAACAAAGGAGACCGAGTCCCATATGTAAAAGCAAAGAGCTTTTATTTTAATCAAGTTTGCAAACTCGGTCTCTCCACATGTTCAACATATTGGAATATCCGAAGAGCCCCTAGCTCAATTAGAATTTTTTTTTTTTTTTTGCTTTTCAAGACAGGGTTTCTCTGTGGTTTTGGAGCCTGTCCTGGAACTAGCTCTTGTAGACCAGGCTGGTCTCGAACTCACAGAGATCCACCTGACTCTGCCTCCCAAGTGCTGGGATTAAAGGCGTGCGCCACCACCGCCCTGCTTTTTTTGTTTGTTTGTTTGTTTGTTTGTTTTTTCGAGACAGGGTTTCTCTGTACTTTGGAGCCTGTTCTGGAACTAGCTCTGTAGACCAGGATGGCCTTGAACTCACAGAGATCCGCCTGCCTCTGCCTCCCGAGTGCTGGGATTAAAGGCGTGTGCCACCACCGCCTGGGCTAGAATTGGGTTTTTATAGTAGGTGGGGGTGAGGGGTCTCTGAGGTTCAGGACCCCTGATTGGCTGACATTCGTCTAGGGGTACCCTGGTGAAGTGCTGGCAAGTGTTTCTATCTACAGTGCTTGGAAGGCCAGGAATTCCCTTTCAATGGTCTGCTCTTGGGTGGGGGTCAGGTAATCTTGGTCTGCCAGGCATTGTCTCAGGGTAAACTATTGAGACACTAGGCTCCATTTAAATTTATCGATGGCCAGAGTTCCCCCGTGATAATAGTTGAAGGAAGCAAAGAACTTCCTTTCTGCCCAGACTTAGATTATCATGGCTGGCCCTCACAGTAAATTCCATTGGAAGAAGCTGAAGTTGTGGGGTGGAAATCCTGATGAAGGAAATCGATTCCTAATGGATCGAGTCAGTTTTGGGTTTTGTTCTTGTTTTTGAAATAGAGTCTCACTATGTAGACCAGACTTGTTTCACAGAGATCGGTCTGACTCTGCCTCTTGTGTTTGGGGGATTAAAGGCGCAAGCCGGGTGGTGGGAGCATGCACCTTTAATCCCAGTAGAGGCAGGTGGATCGATGTGAGTTCCAGGCAGCCTGGTCTACAAGAGCTAGTTCCAGGACAGGCTCCAAAGCTACAGAGAAAACCTGTCTCAAAAAACAAAAATTTAAAAAAAACCTAAACAGGCGTGTACCATTCATCTTTCAGGGTGACTGTCCTTTTTGCACAGTTCAGGACCCTCTAGGCATGAGAAGGCATGGAGTTCCAGGCCAGCCTGGGTTACACATAAGAGACCCCGTTGCTGGGCAGTGGTGATGCACGCATTTAAGCCCAGCAGAGGTAGGCGGATTTCTGAGTTCAAGGACGGCCAGGGCTACACAGGTAAACTCTGTCTGGGAAAGCCAAAATGAAACCAACCAAGAGAAGGACAAACAAAAAGCAGAGAGCCAGTGAGATGGTTCAGCTCCTAAATGTTATGGTTTTGGTCCCTGGTCCCTTTAAGAGACAAGCCATGCCCACTCCCTCCCCATCTACTGAGGCAGGCTGATCTTCAGCTTCTGGCCTGAGCTCACTCTCTTTTCCATCTTCCTCTCGGAGAGGCAGCTTCAGTTCTTCCTCTCTCCCCATTTCTGTCTCCCTCTCCTTTTCTCCTCTCTCTCTCTCTCCCTCTCTCTCTCCCCCTCTTCTCCCTTCCCCCTTCATAACCTCCTGAATAAATATTCAACCTTACTCTGCAAGTCGTGTCTATCCATGTTTCTGTCTTCTGCCTGCCCTCCATGTGTCTCCCTGCCTGGGACCAGCCATTGCTCCGGGACCAGCAGCCACCTTTGCCTGGGACTGGCTGCTCGCAGGGCCCGCTGCCTGCCACCACATGGCCCGCCACCACCATTTGGGACCTACTGCCGCTGGGGATCTTGCAGCATTTTTTAAAAAATTATAAAACTAAAAACACTTGCTCCTAAGCTCAATGCTGAGTTTTTACTCTGGGATCCACAAGGTGAAAGGAAACTCGAGAACTCTTGATTTTCAAGACAATTTTTTATTTATTTATTTATTTACTTATGTATACAACATTCTGTTTGTGTGTATGCCTGCAGGCCAGAAGAAAGCACCAGACCTCATTACAGATGGTTGTAAGCCACCATATAGTTGCTGGGAATTGAACTCAGGACCTTTGGAAGAGCAGGCAATGCTCTTAACCATTGAGCCATCTCTCCAGCCAACCTCAAGACAGTTTTAAAACGCTAGGTTTTCCTCTTCACCTAGACTTATTTTCTTAATGTTTCCTTTCTATCTCACCTTATCCTCCCCTCCCCCGTTTCATCGCCCCTGCCTTGGTTTCCCCCTTTCACTCAGCCTGTCTGCTCCTGCTTGGTCCCCTCTCCCATTCCGGCTGAGTGGTGTTATGTTTTCTGCCACTGGCCCTCGGGGATTTAGGGCTGTAATTCTTCCTTCACAGGCCTTCGGAGCATTGTGTGCCTCAATATCCCACACTTTTTCCAAAATCCCTACCCCGATACTTGCCAGGTGCCCCCAAGATGGAGCCTACTGCTTCTTCCCGACTCTTTGAAAACTGTCTTCCGACTTTGGCACATTCCATTACATGTTTGTGCTTGTGTGTGCACACACACAAACCTAAATATAAAAATATGGTGGAGAGTGACGGAGGAAGATGTTCAGTGTCTATATTTGAATTCCAAATTTGGACACCAATGTTTTCTGGAAGCTCCTCCTTGAATCCACGGTCAGGGGAGCCATCAGAGGTGCATTTGGTCAAACTCTGTCCCTGATTTCTCAGATGAGAAAACAGTCTCAGAGTTGGGTCATTTCCCCATCTAAAGCCAACATACTAGGGAACTGAACACAGAACCAGATAAAGTTTGTCTGGCTCTTCAGTTGCCCTTCTGGTGGTGTCTAACTGGGTGCCCTGACTTCTTACTAGACTCCTAACAGCAGGCATACATGTTTAAACTGGGCTGCTTGGCTTGAATGCTGGCCCTGGACTTCCTTAGTTTTGACTTTGGGCTAAACAACTCCACTGTGTCTCAGTTTTTCCCTGGGACAAAGAATGGCAGTCTTTGTCCCAGGGTTGTGAAGCGCTAAGTAAATACTGCTATATGGACTGCATTATTTTTTGAGATAGGGTCTCTATGTAGCCCTGGCTGCCCTGGAACTCTATGTAGACCAGGCTAGCCTCAAGGCTGGCCTTCTGCCTGTTGGGATTAAAGGTGTGCAACACTATGACTGGCTTGAGAAATTAGTTTTTTATGTATTAGACTCTGGAAGTAGCAAATTCAGCTGACACCTGAGTGCGTTAGGTGACTCTCGGGGCTCTGCCCAGTGCTCTCCATGCATTATTTAATTCTGTGATCGACACTGTGAGGGAGAAACAACTACCCTGAGGTACAAAGAAACAGAGGCCCAGAGAAATGTGTCCACGTTCCCATAGGAAGGCCCCAGGAGAGGATTTCCCGCCTATACTCAATTCCCTAATGGGTGGATTGTTTGTGGCCATAAGGTAAATGGTTCACTTCAAGAAGAGTAAAGGGCCAGGCGGTGGTGCATGCCTTTAACCCCAGCACTTGGGAGGCGGAGGCAGGTGGATCTCTGAGTTCAAAGCCAGCCTACAAGAGCTAGTTCCAGTCAGGCACCAAAGCTACAGAGAAACTTGCTTCGGGAAAAAAAAAAAAAAGGCACTTAAGGAAATGTCTAGCATCCTTAGTCATCAGAGAAAGGCAAATCAAAACAACTTGAGATTTCATCTTACACCTGTAAGAATGGCCAAGATCAAAAACACTGATGACAACTTATGCTGGAAAGATTGTGGGGAAAAGGGAACACTTCTGCATTGCTGGTGGGAATGCAAGCTGGTACAACCCCTTTGGATGTCAGTGTCACAATTTCTCAGAAAATTAGGAAACAACCTTCCTCAAGACCCAGTAATACCACTTTTGGGTATATATCCAAAGGATACTCAATCATGCCACAAGGACACGTGCTCAACTATGTTCATAGCAGCTTTGTTTGTCATAGCCAGAACCTAGAAACAACCTAGACGTCCCTCGACCAAAGAATGGATAAGGAAAATGTGGTATATTTACACAATGGAGTACTATACAGCAGAAAAAATAATGACATCTTGAATTTTGCAGGAAAATGGATGGATCTAGAAAACATTATTTTGAATGAGGTAACCCAGCCAGACACAGAAAAACAGTTATCATATGTACTTTCTCATAGGTGGTTTTTAAACATAAAGCAAAGAAAGCCAGCCTACAAACCACAATCCCAGAGAACTTAGACAACAATGAGGACACTAAGAAAGACTTACATAGATATAATCTACATGGGAAGTAGAAAAAGACAAGATCTCCTGAGTAATTGGGAGCATGGGAACCTTGGGGGAGGGTTGAAGGGTAGGGAAGAGACGGGGGGGGGGGGCAGAGAAAAATATAGAGCTCAATAAAAATCAAAAGAAAAAAAAGCAAAAGATAGGGTTGGGTACAAATGGGGGAAGAGGGCAGGGTTGCAGATTTTAAAAATAAAAGATAAAGATGAGTAAAGCAGTTGGTGGGGTCTGGTTAGCTCTAAGGTTAGGGCCTAGCTGCTATCTACTGTAGTCTGGGCTTGCCCTTGGGGTGAAGTCACCTGCATAGGAGCCAAAGTACAAACAAGCCTGGCTCAACCTTGGGCAGATTCTGTGCTCGTGAATACTGTTTTGTTCCTGCCGAGGCTTTCTTTCTTTCTTTTTTTTTTAAAGATTTATTTATTATGTATACAGTGTTCTACATGCCTGCAGGCTGGAAGAGGGCACCAGATCTCATCTTGGATGGTTGTGAGCTACCATGTGGTTGCTGGGAATTGAACTCAGGACCTTTGGAAGAGCAGCTAATGCTCTTAACCTCTGAGCCTTCTCTCCGCCCCCCCTGCTGAGGCTTTCTTTTTTTTTTTTCTTTTTTTCCCTCTTGAGATTCCAGCTTAGTTTCTCAGGCTCCTCTCTATAAACTTGCTTGGCTATCTCAGCTTAATTTGGACTGACAAGGTATTGTCCCTGCAAAGGAAGCTGAGGCCTGGTCAGACATTCTGGTGGTAGCAATGGATTGGGACTTTTGGGACAGGTTGTGTCTAGAGAAGGAGGATGGTGAGGTACTCACCATCAGCAAAGACCTAGAGGCATGGGTACTGGCCGTAACCTTGGTTGGAGCAGAGTTAAGGAGGCTGTGTTAGCCCTAATAGGATGAAGAGGCATATACGAAATCGGTCCTTTAGGGTCAGGTGTAGGTGTCACATGTCTGCTAGGCATGTCCCACATAGTCAGAGCTCACCATGCCAGGCCTGGTATAGTCTGAGTTGCCACGTGCCAACTGTGTGTGCGAGGCATGTGGTCACATGTGCTGGGGGCTGCACGTGAGAGTGTCAGTGTCTCCTCCCCATCACGAGCATGGGGGTGGTGGTGAGTCACGGGCTCAGCCTTCAGCACCAACTGTCATGTTCCTTCCCCCCAAATTTCACCCCCCCCACACACACCCAGCCATGCACCAACCACCCCCACTTGAAGATCTATGTTGATTCTCTGTTCCATCCCCCTGCCCTTCTGGGCTCCCTCAGAGAGACAGCAGAACTCCCTGATGGAGAGGGCTTCTCTCAGCTCTGGCTCTGCTCTCCAGTTTCCTGCCATTTTGTCAACCCTTCCCACTGGCTCACTGCTCAGGTGATGAGAAGATGAAGGTCTCTTCTCCCTTCCCACTCATCTCTGGGTCCCCAGGAGTTCTCGGTGCATAATGGAGAATTCCCATCCTCCCCCCTTTAACATCCTCAGCCTGTTTCCAGAGGCTATCCAGTTACATTTCCACCAGCTAGCCATGCCTGCCTCTGTGGGCCTCTTGTGTCTATGAACCACATGATTGTCTCTGTGTGTCTCCTGTGCCCATGGGACTGTCCCCTGATTCGGTAACCTCTCCTTGCTCTCTGGGCTCTGTATGCTTCCTGGTTGCCCCTTCTGTGTATGGCTCCCTATCCCGAGGAGTCTTTCTGTGTCTGTCCCTCTGTCTTTGGCCTCTCCCCACCTTCAGACACCCCTGTGTCCCTAAACTGCTCGCTTGTCCTCAAGTGGTTTGCTTTTTTATGCCTGGGCTTTTCCCCTGTCCTTGGCCTTGTGAGTTTGTGGGCCTTGGCCCACCTCTCTGTTTCTCTGCATTTTTCTCCTCTCTCCCCACCTCTAGGCCCTTCGCTCAGTTCTTCCCACCAATGCCTCTCATCTTCATGGGCTCCAGTACCCAGGACTGCCTGGGCAGGGCGGTGGCATGGTGTGGTTGGAGGGGGTGGCCCCGGGGGTGGGACCTTCATCCAATGCAGCTTGCTTTTCTCATCAGCATTCTCCTCGCAGGGCCCCCCAGCCCCGACCAATACGATCTCCCCCTCCCCTACTTCCCTCCCTCCTTGCTCCCTGCCTACCTCCCTCCCTTCCTCCAGTCCGCCCTCCTCCCTGCCTCCCTCCCTCCATCTCTCCCCTCCACCACCACCACCACCATCACCACCACCACCCCCCGCGCTCCAGGACCCAGCGCGGGCGGGCAGGCGGCGGCCTAGGAGGGGAGAAGGAGCGGTGGCGGCAGCGGTAGTAGCGGCCGGCCGGCAGCAGGGAGGCAAGCCCGGCTGGGGACACGGAGCCGCCGGCGGCTGCTGCTCACAGGGGACCAGAGTCCGCGGCCAGGCCCTCCCACCGAGAGAGGGCCGCCCCCGGACACCCCACCCTCCTCCGCCTTCCCGTTCCACCTGCTTCTCTCCATCCTCTCCTCCCACCTCGTCCCTCCACCTCGTCTGCCCCCTTCTTGGTCTGTCCAAGGCTGCCAGTTACCCTGTCCTCGCCAGCCCGGTCACTGCTCGGCCTCTCCTGGCCCCCAAGCATGCTTTTCCCCTGGGGACTGAGGGCTTGAGGACTCCAGGCCCTAGCTTCATCCAGGGCAGGGCCAAGGCTCTGGGGGGAGGGGGGGAAGGGGGCGGCCCCCTCCCCCCCAGTAGGCCCTCCCCTCCCCCACTTCTCCCGATGGCCGGCTTTCTTTTCTCCACCCAGTCCTCACCCCCTGTGCCCCCCCCAGGCCGGCCCGGCTAGGGGAGGGGGCGGGGGCCCTTTCCTGGGCCGGCTTCCCCCTCCCCCGGCTTTGCCTGTGCCCCCTCCCTTCCGTTTTCACCTTCCTCTCCTCCTTTCCTCCCTCCTTCCCCTCCGTTTGCTCCTTCCCCCTCTCTTCTCTCCCCTTCTCTCCTCCATTTTCTCCTTTCCCCTTCTTCCCCTCCTGGCCCACCCTTTGCTTTTCCACCTGTCCTTCTTCCCCGCTGCTGGGGAGACATCGTTTTGGATTAGTTGGGGGCCACCACCGGCGGCGGGGGAGGGGGCCCAGTGGACTGCCCTCTCCCCCGGCCCCAGCCTCACCAGCACCCAGAATCGGAGCATCTCCTGGTTGTGGTTCTTCGGGCCTCGAGGGAGCCCAGCCCTCCGTCCCACCAGGATCCGTAAGTGTCTGCAGGGCGGGGATTGGGCTGGGTCCTGGGTCCTGGGTCCTGGAAGGCCAGACTAGCCCGGCTGGCAGGGCCCCCACAGTCCCTGCTCCCCGTGGATGGCAAGGAACCTACTCCCCCATTGCTTTGTGCCCTCCCTCTCAACGTCTCATTCTCCACGACCTTTTCTCACCCTTACTTCTGGGCACACACCTCACACCTGCCCTCAGTCCCAGCTTCCCCCAGTCCTGTGGGCTCCTCATAGGGACTCTTGGCTTGTTCGTTCTCCAAGCTTTGGGTCCCAGACCCACACTGGCTCCTGACTTGTGCGTTGATTTCCTCTCTCCCTCTCCTCTCTCTCTGCCTTACCGTAGGCCCCATCCCATTCACCTCTTGTCTCCTGGAAATGCCTTTGCGTTTTCAAGTCTGCATTTCACCTATCTCCCAGGCCTGTCCAACTGTGCCCAACTTCTCTGTTCTCTCCTCTCCTAAGCGAGTCTCTCTGTAGGAGATGCTAGTTCCCATCTAGCCTTCTCCCCACTCTGTCTTTCCATTCTTTGCCTGATCCTCTCCACCTCCAGGCTTCACCTCTCACTTTTCAGCTTCCCTCCTCCTGCCCCACTCTGGGTCCCCAGTCTTCCCCTCCGTAGCTGTCCCCATCCACTGCTCTCTCCTCTGTTCCCTGGCTTCTGCCCTGGCTCTTCCACCTACCCCCCAGTTTCTCTCCCCACTTCTGAACCACACTACCTCCCAGGACCCCTTGACTTGAGGGCACTGGGATCCTCAGCACTCCTGGAGAGTTTCTGCATCTGTGCAGGCTGCTCTGCCCTTCCAGGGCATTCAGTTCCCCTCAGTTCCCCTCCCTAGCTTGTGTGGACAGCTCTCTCCCTGTGTGCTTCTCCCACATTCCTTTTCATTCTGGCTTCTGCCCCTCTGGCCTCAGCAGCTTTAGGCTGCTGTGCAGTTCATCCCTTGCTCACACTCTGTGTGTCTGTGTCTGTCTGTGTCAGACTGTCTCTCTTTTAGCAGTTTCTTATTTCTTTCTTTGCTCCCCATGGTTCTTTTTGTTAGTTTGTTCTGCTTTTAGAGACAGGGTTTCTTATAGCACAGGCTAGCCTTGAACTCACTATGTAGCTGAGGCTGGGTTTGAACTCCTGATCCCCCTGCCTCTGACTGCTGATTGTTGGTATTACAGGTGTGTGGCACCACACCCTGCTCTCCCCATGGGTCTCATACTTGTTGTTATTCTTCTCTTGGCCCTCTCTCTTCTCCTCTTAGGCTCCTGTCCTTTGCATGTATCTCCCCTTGCTGATGTCTCTCCTCCAACCTGGAGGGCCTGGCTGCCCCCCACTCCTCAGCTCTCCTAGTTGACTCTGTTTCCATCTGTACCTGCCTGACCTGAGCTGGGTGTACGAGTCCTGGGCCTGGCTGACCCCTGCTCCTTCTTGTGTTCTTCATCTGCTCCTTTGCTGTGTCTTTGTTGGTTTTTGAGACAGGGTCTAACTCTAACCCAAGATGTCCAGGGATTCCCTATGCAACCTAGAGTGGCCTCAAGCTCACAGTGATCCCACTGTCCCCAGAGTGCAGGAATTGCATCTTGGGGTGGATGCCTTACTTAGTGTCTGTCTGTCCTTTCTTCCCACTTAGTTATAGTCTCCGCTTTCGGGCTACCTTTCTGTGTGTTTTTTCCAGGACCTCTGTGTTTGTTTGCAACCTATAGTCTGTGCATAGTGCCTGTGTCCTTCTGTTCCCATCAGTGTCTGCCACCTGTGGGTCCCTGCTTTTCTGCCCTGTCTCAGGCTTTTTGTCTGTAGTCCCCAATCCCTACTTGTTCCAGATGTCCCAGGATGAACCCCCCTCCCTCCTGCCCTTCCCCTTGAGAACTCTCCTTCCAGCTCTCCCAGAATTCCTTGCTCCTCTGTCCTGGTCAAGTCCCCACATTAGCTCTAAATTGCAGTCTGCAGCCACCAGTCTGTTGAGCATGCCCCCATCCCTCAGGCTCTCCTTATCAAAGACTGAGGGGTGTGCGGGGAGGACTTTCTCAAGGTCACCCAGGAAGCAGGGACAAGTGTGGGGCTGATAAGGCAACCTTTCTTTTTGGCCTGGACTGTTTTGGCTATAGAAGTCAATTCCAAACCTTGCTTGGGACTCTGCCCTTCCCCAGTACTTCCTTCCGGCTTATCACCAGCTGAAGTCTTTCCATGGGTCCAGGTGGGATGCAGGGGGACACTAGATATACTTTGCAGTGCTCCGGGGGTCCTACAATAACCCTCTAGCCTTGGAGCATGGTCTGCGACCAAGTCCAAGGATCCATGTGCACATCTGGCAAAACACATCCTACCCAGCGGTTACACTTCCAAAGGTCTGGAGTGCCCAGAGCAAACCCGAACTCCCTGAGACTGGCTCTGTGAAGACATGTACCGTACCTGTCTGCCAGTACAGGGTGCAGGCAGTGAGTTCCAGCTTTCCTTCCTCTCTGTGGGACTCTTGCTGGTTGCTTGAGTCAGTGTGTGCCTGTCCCTGTGTTCTCTGTCTTTCTCTTCCAGTTTCTCTCCTATCCCCATGTACTGGTGTCCCCTTATTTGGTCTGCCCTTTCCCCTTCCTCAGTCTCTGTCCTTTATTTCACATCTTCCTGTCCCTTCTCTTTCTCTCTCTCTCTCCCAGTCCTGTCTATAACTTCCTTCAACTCCTCTTCTCTGTTTCTTTCCAATTTTAGCTGTTTCTGTCATCTTTCTGTTCTCTCATATGTATCTGCCTGTTTTTTCCTTCTTTTCTCATTTTCTGAGTCTCTGCATCTTTCATTTTGCAGTTTCTCATCAGATACTTTTTTTTATTTCTGTATTCTCTTTTTAGCTTCTTTGCTACATGGAGTTCTTCCCTCTGTTCCTCCTTCCCCCTCACCAAGTTTCCTAATTCCAAGATAATATCACTTATCGGACCCTGGGTGCCCAGGCCTCGCCTCCAGGGGATTGTGGGAACCAGGGACATCAGGAAGGTGGCAAGTGAGGCTTGGGATGGGGTTGCCTAGCAACCACTGCATCCTCTCCAGCCAGTTTCTGTTGCCTAGTAACGGCTGCCTGCCCAGAGACAGGGGCGGGACTGGGGTGATGGTGGTACCTCCCAGTTTCCTGTTGGGGTGGGGCTGGTCCCCAGAATCACTCCTACTTCAAATTTCTAGCAATGACTGTCTTATCAGTGACCTCTGACCTTTCCATCTTCCGGAGCTCAGTTCTATGAGCTTGGTATCCCAGTGAGCCAGTCCTTTTCAGAACTGGGCATTCCTCCCCAGTGATGTCTGGGAGGAATATGCTTGCCACCTCATCCAGCAGCTTTCCTAAAAGACTCTGCCCCCACATCAGCCATCTCCCTTGGGGCTGGGGGGTCTCTCTGCAGGTGGCAAGTGGGGGCCGCGGCAGCTGCGTCCCCATGAGGAGAAGAGGAAGATGCCGGCTGAGCTGCTGCTGCTGCTGATAGTTGCCTTCGCCAACCCCAGCTGCCAGGTGCTGTCATCACTGCGCATGGGTGAGGCCCCAGCACCCCACCTCCTCAGAAACTCTCCCTCCAGGTCCCTCTAGGGAACTCAGGCATAAGTAACACCAAAGTGCTCTGTCTCCTAGCTTATCCTTCCCTGAGACCCAGGAGCCCAGGATACCCTGCTGTGCAGCCTCAGATCCAGGAATCCAGACCCTTCATACCTCTATATCCCTTCAATCTAGAGGCCACAAATCCAAGACCCCACAAGATACCCTTTCTCGGGGGCCCCGGGACTCTGGCCCCTCCCAACTCCTGTCTCCTCTCAGCTGCAATCCTGGACGACCAGACTGTTTGTGGCCGTGGTGAGCGTCTGGCCCTGGCCCTGGCCCGGGAACAAATCAACGGGATCATCGAGGTCCCAGCCAAGGCCCGAGTGGAAGTTGACATCTTTGAGCTGCAGCGGGACAGCCAGTACGAGACCACGGACACCAGTGAGCGGGGCCACGGGGGCGTGGGGTGAGGCAGGGCAGGTGGGGCCTCGGCCAGTCACTCCACCCCTGGCCTCCTCAGCTCAACTTTACACTCATTGCTCACACCTGCTATCCTTCCTTCATGCCTGTTTCTGTCTCACGGAAGTGGAAGCTTGCTGGGTTGGGAGGTCCAGGCACTAGGGCCTGGGGCTTTCAAGATCCCCGGTGGGTCAGGAAGGGCATTCTGGAACAGGTGGGCAGGAGGTAGAGTATTGCGCTGTTCCAGCACACCTGCAGAGCTGGCTTGCCCTTGGGAGGGCTTGCAGAGGTGTCAGTTGATGCTCATGGTCCTAGTAAGTGGTAGTGCCTGATATCCTAGTCTGCTGTTGGCCGCTAGGATACAACACTCACCAAAACCACCATGGGGAGAAAAGGGTTCACTTTAGTTTGCAGGTTAGAGAGTCCATCCTGGAGGGAAGCCAGGGCAGAACCTCAAGGCAGGAATCTGCAGGCAGGAACTGAGGCAGAGACCATGGAGGAATGCTGCTTACTGGCTTGCTCCTCCCAGCTTCCTCAGATACCCCCATGACCCTCAGGGATATCACCACCCACAGTGGGCTGAGCCCTCCCACTTCAATCACTAATGAAGAAAACACCCCATAGACTGGCCTACAGACCAATCTGATAGAAAGAGTGCCTCAAGTGAGGTTCCCTCTTCCCAGGTGACTGTAGTTTCTGTCAAGTTGACAAAACTTACCAGAGCACTTGCCTCAGCTACACTGGGACCATCCTAGCTCTTTGCAACCTTCTGTATCAGGACTTGTTTTATGCTGGGCCTGGTGGCTCACCCCTGTAGTCCCAATACTTGGAAAGCTGAGGCAGGAGAGTCATGGTGAACTTTAAGCCAATCTTAAATCTTGGCTACAGAGTGAGTTTCAGGCCAGCATGATCTATAGAGGAAGATCCTGCCTGAAAAACTAAACCAAACCCAAACTCTGCTTAGCATCCATAATACATGGGTTTGGGGCTGGAGAGATGACTCAGTGGTCAAGAGCACTGGCTGTTCCGAGTTCAGTTCCAAGGACCCACATGGCAGCTCACAACTGTTGCTAACTCCAGTTCCAGGGGATACGACACTCACACATACATTCAGACAAGATGCCAATGCACATAAAATAAAAATAAATATTAAAAAATAAATTGAACAAATTAAAAAAAATAATACATGGGTTTTACTCCAAGCACAACAGATAAACAAGCATGTAAACAACCCCCCTTCCCCCAGGCCTTACATGGGCTATGTTAAATCTTGGGTGTTTCATCACCGAGAGGGAGAGTAGAGTAGACTCTTCAGGCCTTTTGTACTGGTGCATCACGGACACGGTCTGGGAGAAGCAGAGGTGGAGACTGAAGAGGCAGATGGTAGAACAGGCATGCATTTAGGGTTGAGCCAAGGAACAAGGTGTAGGGTGAGACCATCTTAGCCTACTGGAGTCAGTGTGTGTTTGAGCAGATCCTGCAAATGAAGCCACGTCAAAGGAAATCAGCACCCAGAGTTAAAGAGCGATTGTTGGCATGTTTATAGAGTAGCTGGATCCAGCCGTTCCTGACAGAATCCTGGGGGTCATGAGCTCCTAGGTGTAACCATGTCTGAAATTAGTTTGTAACCCTTTTAGCGGTGTGATCTCATTTATATTCTCATCCTTTCTGTCACTGACTTCTCTCCATTACCCCCACGGCCTCATACATTCCTAGGCAAGTCTTCTAACATGACGTCTAGCCCCAGCCAATACTGTTCTCTTAACCCATCCTGAGTTTCTGCCATGGCTGCCTTAAGGCATCTATCTAAACAGGACATCACATCTCGACCCAAACTTGTTCCTTCTGTGTCCTCCGTGTTGAAGGCCCCACCATTTGCACAGACCATGTGCCTGAAAATGGTCCTTTCTTTCTATTCTCTCTTGAGAGCTATTAGTCTTGACTCTTACTTATCTCCAGATTCTTTTCCCGATCATCTCCCCTCCATCCTCTGTACCCCTGCCCTACTTCAGCGTGGCCAACTTAGGCATGTACCATTTGCCTCATTCCCCACACAGAGCCGGGTTCGAGTGCTAGCTTCACCCACCAGGAGAGTACTGTGGGTAGTAGAGTGACTGAAGAGCTTGCATGGCAGAGGAAGCCAGCTCCTGATTTGCACTTCAGAAGGAGGCCCACAGTGCTGGGCATGGTCAGGCCTGGAGGCCCAAGCAGGAGGAATCTGAGTTCAAGGCCTTAGTTGAGTTGTTTACATAGCTGTTGTGGTCCAGGGCAAGCCTGGACCTAAATTATTTCTTCGGCTAGTGTGGAGGCGTGGGAATAAAGACACAGCTCACATGACTTTATCGGGAGGAAGATTTTAGGGATCCCTCTTACAAAGCTTATCCTACAGCAGTTTTATGGAAGAATGGTCTGCTTTTTATGACTACACCTTCCCATTTTTGCCAGTTAAGATATTAAACTCTTAATTTAAAACAGTTTATTTAATACAGAAAAGCAGGATGGAATCTAGGAGATGTTTTAGCACATAGCAAGATTCAAGACAGTCTGGGCTGTAAAGTGAGACCTTGCCTCAAAACATACACACACACATACACACACACACACACAAACACACAAGCACGTGTCCCATGGTGTCCACATGCTTTCCTGTGTTACTCTTGGCTTGGTCTGTCTCTCTCTGCCTCCCTCTGTCTGAGCAGGCCAGGGACTGGTCCCCTGGAATCCAGACTGGTGGAGGAGGACCCACAGCTCTGAGCCTCTGGGGTCTTCTCCTGAACCAGGTGGGGTGGTTCTCTTGTGGGTGGGGCGGGAACAAAAGCAGAGGGGCAGAGGGTCCCTGACTCTGGTCTCTTCCCCTCACAGTGTGTCAGATACTGCCCAAGGGGGTCGTGTCTGTCCTAGGACCCTCCTCCAGCCCAGCTTCTGCCTCCACCGTGAGCCATATCTGTGGGGAGAAGGAGGTGAGGTGGGGAGTGGGAGACTGGGGGCTGGGGTGTGGGGTTATGATCCCTGGCAAGCAATACCTCCCTTTCTGTCCAGATTCCCCACATCAAGGTGGGTCCTGAGGAGACGCCCCGCCTTCAGTACCTTCGCTTCGCATCTGTCAGCCTGTACCCCAGTAATGAGGACGTCAGCCTGGCGGTCTCCCGAATCCTCAAGTCTTTTAACTACCCCTCGGCTAGCCTCATCTGCGCCAAGGCTGAGTGTGAGGGAGAACTGGCTGTTCTGTTTACATTCTCTCTAGACACCCCTTTCTAAAGCCCTAATGTCCCACACAGTTTCCTGGTTCCACCAGGCACCTTCTTAGTTCCCATTGTCTCTTTCCCCTTTAGGAACTGGGGCACTGGTTCCATAGAACCCCTCTTGTCCCAGAGTGACCTGTGTGATTCACTGATGGTGAACCCTTTTTGTCCAGCTCTCACTAGGCTTGCAAGGTGGCGGGGGGCAGTGCTGGTGTATAACTTTAAAAAATGTGTTATTAATTTTTAATTAGTTTACAAAATAATAGGTCTCATTTGACATTTTCAAATGTATTCATCATCTCATTTTGCTCGTAATTGCCCCCTGCATGCAACTCTCAGTCTAGAAGGACCTCAGGCCACTGAGCGTTTGGGACACAGAGGGGTACATGGGCTGCCAGGAGATGTGTGGGTCCTTTGGAAAGGGTTCTGACTGTGTGGGAGGCTGAGAGCCCATACCCTAAGAATGCTACCTCTGAACTGAACTTGAAACATTGAACCTTGTGGGACAGAGGTGGAAGGCTCCAGAGTACAACCCCCAGGAGTGTGAAATGGTGAGGTGAGGGGCCAGGGATGCTTTAGAGGTTTCCAAGCAACAGTGCAGGACGAGGGGACGTGGTCAGATCTGTGTAGTGAGAAGTGACACACTGCACAGGGATGTACGAGTGTCAGAGGGAACAGCAGGAGGCATGAGACATGCGTTAGGTGAAATGATGGCAGTTGGGTGGAGAGCTAGGCCTCCCTGAGGAGAAAAGTTGGATGGGGTAAGGAGAGTGCTCAGGTTGTGAGTGACACCAAAAGTCAGCAGGCAAGAGAGAGGAGAGCAGCCTGTTCGAGAGCACACGTTGAGTGTGATGTTCTCGGAGATGTTCAAGTGTGGTGGTCTGGGGGCAGGTTATAAGTATGGAGGTTAGGTGAGGGTACTGAGTTTTGGAACTTCTAGGAGGAATTCTCTTTCTGGAGGTTCCTACTGAGCACCTGCTGAAGTCAGACTCACGTTAGGAGGACAGCCATGAGACAGGTAGACACAAATAGTTGTCCCTGTCGTATGAATGGGAGTGGGGGTAGGGGAAGTAGAGGGCATGGGCCTTTTAGAGAAGGCTATGTCTGAGTAAAGATCCGGGGCAGGTGAGGGTCAGCCATGGAGGATCCTGGAAAAATGGGGTCCCAAGTAGAGGAATAGCCCGGCTAAGACTGCAGGACAGAAGGCTGACTCTGTGAGACAGAGAGGAGGCCCATGTGGCTGGAGCAAGTGGAAACATTAAATGACAGAGAGGAGATGAGACACTTGGCACAGAGCAGAGCCACGTCTGCTTCCATCCCTCTGGCTGTTGTGTGGGGAGCAGACTCAAGCAAGCGTGGCCAATGCAAGAGGCAAGAGATGGCAGTGGCTTGTGCCAGGGCAGTGACCATGATGTGGTGTGATAGGATCTGATGTATTTTGAAATAGAGACTGGGTGAGTGAGGGCGGAAAAAAAAAAAAAAAAGAAGAACCCAGCCTGCCATCAAGGTTCTGGCCTGAACAACTGGCACATAGTGAACTCCTGTCACCCGAAGGACGGAGGTGGTCAGAGAAGACAATTAACTATGGCAGACATTCCAGTGTCAGGAAGGGGTGGGAGAGGGTAGGTCAGACATCTGGAAATTTGGGGAGATGTCTCAGGGGATTTTACTTAGGGAATCTCTCAAAGCATCAAGTCCCCAAGCTGAGAGCCCTAAGGGTCCCAGCTGTTCTGGAGACAGCCACTCCATCTTCTTAGCATTTTCCAGTCTTCTTCAGCTCAGCTGTCCCATGCTGGGAGAGGGGAAGGGACATCTGTGTGCTCCCTGCCTGGGCAGGCAGAGGAAGGGCTCTAACTTGAGGCCTGGCCCTCCTCCAGGCTTGCTACGATTGGAAGAATTGGTACGAGGCTTTCTCATCTCTAAGGAGACACTGTCAGTGAGGATGCTGGATGACAGCCGGGACCCCACGCCGCTACTCAAGGAGATCCGAGATGACAAAGTCTCTACCATCATCATCGATGCTAACGCGTCCATCTCCCACCTCGTCCTCCGTAAGGTGGGCCCCCTCTTGTTTCCACAGAATGGGGGGGGGCAGATACTTCAGTGGTGGGTTGTGGGTTTCATAGGGTCTGTCTGTTTTGTAGCTCCCTGGTCACATGACCCAGGATAGTCCCTTTCTTTTTCTGTGAAGTGCAGACAGCAGTAGGTCCTACCTCTTTGGCTTGGGAGGGTAGTGAGCTTGCAGCAGGGAAAGTCCTTAGAGCCACATTGGCCCAGACTAAATGTCTGAGTCATCCCTCTTTAGGACTCTGTTGTCACTGTGGTTTGTTTCTTTTTAAAAAGATTTATAATTTTTAATTATGTATATGTGTGCGGGGGTGTGTGCACGTAAGTGCTGGTGCCAGAGGTGTGGGTTTCCCCTGGAACTGGAGTTCCAGGTGGTTGTGAGCCATGTGGGTGCTGGGAATGGAACTTAGGTTCTCTGCAGGAGCATTATACACTCCTGGCGGCCGAGCAGTCTCTCCAGCCCATTTGGGAGGTGAACTCTCTGGGCGGGCAGTTCAGGTTGACCTTGGATGTGAGAACCTTAGGACTTGTCTTGGAGCTCTGTGTTGAGGGGTTCATGGACATCCTTAACTGGGGCTCTCCCGCACTGCGCAAGTCTGATATTTTAACACCATATAGACAAAGAAGCTGGGGTTCTGGAGGCAAGGGCCCGGAGTTCCAGGACTTCTCCCCATGGACCTAGCACGTCCCATCCTTCAGTGAGCCGCACTCATTAATCATTCATTCACTTCCCCTGCGCTTAATTTTTCTTGATAATCAAATTTGTATTATTTTTTTCTCCATTTGTTTTTCATTTATTTTTTTCTTAATTAAAACCGTATGTCACTGCTGATCGTAGCCTGCAGGAAGAAGTGTTAAGCAGACTCCTAGGGATATAAAGGGCTGAGGGAAGAGGTTCTGGGTTGACAGGCCACCTGGGCAAAGAGCTCTCCCGTGGAACGGTGTGCTTTGAGGTCTCTTCTCTCTTCCTTCTTGCCCTTCCCCGATACCCACGGGTCCATGCCCTGCTCCCACTCCCCTAATAATACGTGCTGGAGCCCTGTACTGTTAGAATTCTCATGTGGGGTTATGCTGGGTATTATCCAACCTGTCCTCCTCAAGGACCCCGAGATTCTAACTGATTGCCTTCCATTGCAGAAATCCTTTTTCTTCCCTCCTTTCCACTCTTCCTCCTCCCCTCCTCCCCTCCCTTCTCCTCCTGTCCTCTCTCTCCTTTCCCTTCCTTCCCTCCCTCTTTTCTTTTGATGTTTCTGGGAACTGAATCTGGGGCCTCATAACTGTTAGTCAAGGACTCTGCCGCTGAAGTTCAATCCTCAGTCTGCTTTTTACTTTCGTTTGAGCCAAGAGCTTTCAGAGTTGCCCAGCGTGGCCTTAAACTCACTCTGTAGCCCAGACAGGCTTTGCATTTACAGTCTCAGCGCCTTAAGCCATCTGAGTAGCTGGGATTACAGACCTGTGCCCCCAGGCCTGGCAGCCGGCTGCTTTTCTGATGGATGGCCAAACAGATTGAGCTCTAAACACTGGCAACGCCAATGGTTTTGGGTGACTTAGGGGTAAGGTTAAGGACTCTGTCCCTGCCTGTCCCCTCTCCCAGGCTCCCATCTGTCTCCATCAGGAAGTTTTGTGTGCCTTCATAGGAAACAGTAGACATCTGAGGGCCCCCATTCTCTGCTAGGAAAGCTGTTTTCCCCGGCCAGCACGGGGGACGCAACAGGCCCTCACTTGTCTCCTGCTCGCCCTTGCTGTCTGGGCTGTCTCCTCACCAGGCCTGCCTCTAAATCTCTCTTCCCCTCTTGGGGTCCCCCTTCCCTGTTCTCTGCCTCTTGGCTTCTGCTGTCTTCTTCAGGCTTCCGAGCTAGGAATGACCTCAGCGTTTTACAAGTACATCCTCACCACCATGGTGCGTACCGACCTATGCCCCTCCCAATCCCCGCCTACCACACCTCCCTGCTGCAATTCTGCCTCAGGCCTCACCCCTCTTCTTGGTCCCAGGACTTCCCTATCCTGCATCTGGACGGTATAGTGGAGGATTCTTCCAACATCCTGGGCTTTTCCATGTTCAACACCTCCCATCCCTTCTACCCGGAGTTTGTGCGCAGTCTCAACATGTCCTGGAGAGAGAACTGTGATGCCAGCACCTACCCCGGGCCTGCGGTGAGCACGTAGATACCCACTGGCACTAAGACACTGTGCACTCTGGGGACAGGACCCTGTGGGACCCAAGACCTCAGTGAGGCGCTGTGATGAGTGTGGCCACCCAAGCCTCCCTCCACCTCTTCGGGCAGGCACACCTCAGGGCGTTTGTGCTCCCCACCTGCGCCCCCATTTCCATGCAAACCCAACAGCTGCCCCCCCCCCCACAAAGCTTTTGCTCAGATGTCTCCTTGGCTGGAAGATCTCACTTGTACTTCCTATTTTATTTGTTTGTTTGTTTGTTTGGAGACAGGGTCTCACTACGTAGCTCTCAGGACCGCCTTCCCTTGCCTTTGTTCTAAGGCGTGCCATCCCCATGACCCCCAGAGCTATGCTCAGGGTGGAGACAGCTCTTCCTCCATGCTGCAGCGGAGGATTCTGAACCTCAGGAAGGGGTTGAGATGGTCAGGATCAACACTTACACTCTCCTGTCTCCTCGCTCACTCCGTGTTCATCCTTCCCATACTGTGTGTGACCCAGGCACACGCAGATGTTACCAGTGGCTGTTTTGCCTACTTATCTTAACCATGCAGACCTGGCTGTCTCAGGGAGACAACTGGCCATCGAGGCTAACTCCTTTCAAACAAGCCAAGCATGGTGGTATGCACCTATAATCCGTGCATTTGGGAGCTAGAGACAGAGGGATCAGGAGTTCAAGACCAGCTTCAGCTAGATATCGAGTTCCAGGCCAGCCTGGGCTACATGAGGTCCTGTCTTATAAAACCAAAACAACAATAACAACAAAACAGCAGACTCTCAGAAATGACCTTCTCCAAACAGACGTGGCCGTGTACAGCACGAGACAGTACACTTTCCCCAGAAAGACACCGTAGTCCATCCCGCATCCCTTACCCCACCTAAGTTTCCCACACCCTCAAGGACGGGCGTCTGAGGGTTGGGGTGACTCCACGGGGGCTTTTGGGGGCTGACACTTTCTTGCCTGGCCTTGCCTTCTCCTTCACTCAGCTGTCTGCCGCCCTGATGTTTGACGCTGTGCATGTGGTGGTAAGCGCTGTCCGAGAGCTGAACCGAAGCCAGGAGATTGGCGTCAAGCCACTGGCCTGTACTTCGGCCAACATTTGGCCCCATGGGACCAGCCTCATGAACTACCTACGCATGGTGAGCCAGAAGCAAGGGGGCATGGAGGAGGTGGGGAGCAGCAGCTGCCTCAGGCAGGGGCAATGACTGTGTCTATCCTGCCTACCCTCTGCCTTTTCCCATCCTGACTCTCCACTACCTGGGCCTCCTCATTCGTGTGTCCTGTCTGTCCATGCCACCGTCCCTGTCGGGGTTATGTGCTCTTTGGGTCTTGCTCCTCTGCTTTTGTTCTCTTGCATATGTATCGCCCCCTTGTCCTCTTTCTGACCCTGCCCCTTCTATTCCTTTTGCCTGTCTCTGCGCCTTTCCCTGTGGCTGCCTCATTCCTGCCTGGCTTTTCCGCCTATTTCTGGGCCCCGCCTCCTCTCCCTCTGCCCCGCATCCCGCCCTGCTAGGTAGAGTATGATGGGCTGACCGGGCGGGTTGAGTTCAACAGCAAAGGGCAGAGGACCAACTACACACTGCGCATACTGGAGAAGTCCCGCCAGGGCCACCGTGAGGTGAGCAGCCCCAGGGTGACACTAGAGCCCTGCTGGGATCTGGCCCATAAAGCTTCCAAGAGTATGAACATCAGCGTTCGTACTGATGATGTCCCCTCTGTCCCCAGATAGGGGTGTGGTACTCGAACAGGACCCTGGCCATGAACGCCACTACCCTGGACATCAACCTGTCACAGACCCTAGCCAACAAGACACTGGTGGTCACGACTATCCTGGTGAGTGACCCAAATGGGGCCAGGGAGAGCAGGTGGAGAGGCCCTAGTGCTGGATCTTCCCTGAACATCTTGAACGCCTGTCATAACCCCTCAGGATGGGGAGGAGTCCCTTGGGCAGCTCAGGGCAGTGTAGTGTAACTGGGGGTGTGTCCTGTGCAGTCCAGACTGTGACCAAGGTGTCACCACTCCAGCCACAGCCAGAGTAATAGAGAGCACAGCGGACACAGGCCCTGCAGTGGAAACCGGGTTCTCTGATAGGTTCTCTTTAATGGCCGTCGTACCACACTCGTCAGTCTAATGTGTCGACAGACACCAGCTTGTTGAGTGTCCGCCTTGAAAATGTGGACGCCTAGGGTCAGAGAGGTGAATTAACAGCAAGCGCGTAGCAGAGCCAGGGCTGGAAGCCTCGTCTCTAAGGCTGGAGTCTGAGTCTGTCCTTTGAAACTCTAGTCCTTGACTCTGAGCACCAAGCAAGGAGCCCATCCAGTGTCATGGGGAATCCCAGTCCCTATTTCGACTAAGTCAAGACGTGGGCCTGGTGTGTCAACAGTTGCTCTTGAGGAACTGGGATCTGTCTCAGTTGGTAGAGTGCTTGCCTAGCATGCACAAAGCTTGGGTCTGGTACTTTGTACCACAGGCTTTACACTCAGGAAGTGGAGACAGGAGGATCAGGAGTTCAAGGCCAGCCTGGGGTACATAAAGTCCTGTCTCCAAAAACAAAACAAAACAAAGTGATCTATTGGGAGCCACTGTGCACTAGACCTTTCCTGGGCATCATTCCTGATCTCGCAGTTGCTCCTTGATGAAGCTGGGAAACAAAAGTAAGGAAAGTCCCCTGCAAGTCCCTGTCTGGGCAGAGGATCCGACTGAGCCCAGCCCTCTCCATTGCGTTCTGCTGCCTCCTGCCAGCATGTCATGGAGGGGGTTACACACGGGGCCTGGTGGGCAGGAGCAGCTGGGCCTGGGGGCTGGACAAGCCAGGTGGCTTCGCTCTTTGCAGCAGCCAAGTCCATGGCCTCCAGCCTGCTTTGTCCCCACACCCAGCAGCACTGAGCCGGGCAGCTAATCGCTGTGACATGAAGTTCAGAGACAGTTTCCAGAGGGTGTTAGGAGCCCTTATTAGCAGCCTGTTCCCCAGGGAGCTTCTGACCTAAAGTGGACCTCAAATACTCATGGAGAACAGCCAGCGAGCTAGTTGTAGAGGGACAGATGGCTTGCAGACGGAAGCCAGACACCTCCTAATGGCCCCTCTGAGGGGCCTTGAGGCCTAGTTGTTGGCACCTATGTGTGCATTCTGCTCCATCCCTGATACGTCCTGGAATTGAAAGTGGTGAGGCCTTGGTGGAGAGCAGAGTTAGAGGTCAGGGAGAGGATTTCAGAAGAGTCCCCAAGGCCCGAGAACCAATATTATTCTTGATTCCTGGACTCCATTCTTTTTCTTAATTCCTTAAATATTTGAACGAGTGAACAGGTGCTCTTAAGGGGCACTGAGGGGGCGGTGGCACCAACACCAGGGCACTCATTCCACACCAGGTCATGAGGGGCTCCCTGAGATAAAGATAGACATAGGCTGGAGGAAGGGCTCACAGGCGAAGCACAGGAGTGCGGAGACCATAGGGCAACAGGCCATTTGGGTGTTTGTCAGATTAGACAAACACCCTCATTGTGTGCAGCTAGACACTCCCATTGGGTCATCAACACTTTCTCATTTATTACTTCACTATACTTTATTTTTGGGACAGTGTCTCCCTATGTAGCCCTGGCTGTCCTGGAACTCTATGGAAACCAGGCTGACCTCGAATTTACAGAGAGTCACCTGCCTCTGCCTCCCAAGCACTGCCACGCCCTGCCGAATGCCTGGAGCAGAATCCCTAGCGAATGTGGCTGTCAGCAGTCCTATGGCTGAGCACACTGCTGAGCCCTCAATTTTCAGAGCCCTGAGCTCAGCGCCTTCACGGAAACCATTTTCAGATGAGAATGGAGGGTTCGGGGACATGCTGAAGATGGCCTAGCCAGTGGTGTCAGAGCTGATCTGAGGTGACAGAATCTGTGTGCTTGTCCCTAATACCACATCTTGTCACTTTCCACGTCTTCCTGTCCTCAGAGTTGTGTTGTGGACGTGACACTGCCCTCGACACCCCATATGACCTAAGCAGCACTCTCTTCTATGCTTCTGGTTCTTTTACAGAGGGAAGAAGGGCTGGAGAGATGGCTCAGGGGTTAAGAGCACTGACTGCTCTACCTAGGATCCCAGTTCAGTTCCCAGCATCCACCTGGTCATTAACAACTGTCTGTAACTCCAGTTCCCGGGCCTCTAATGCCCTCTTCTGCCTCCAAAGGCATTGCTATGTGTAGTACACAGGCATGCAGGCAGCCAAGACACCCAAACACATAAAATAATAACATTAACTTTAAAGGTAAAGGGATAAACTAGTATGGTGGTACACATGCATAATCCCAGCACTCTGAAGGCAGAGGCAGGCAGATCTCTGGGTTCCAGGACAGTCGGGACTACATAGAGAGAGCCTGTCTCAATAAAAACAAAACAACATAAAGAGCATAAAGTGCTCCTAACAGTGATCAGGGATTGGGTTAGGTCGGGATCCCATAAACCACACCCCCGGAATCCATGCACGTGGATTTGGGTCCTGGCTCAGTAAAAAACAAACAGCTTTTCAGGAATGGTCTAGAACCTTCCCTACTTTATTTTAGTTTAGTTTAGTTTAATTTTTTTTTTTAACTTTCAGGAGGTCATCTGTCCCTAACCTGTCTCCTGCTGGGGATCAAACTCAAGGATCCCTCACTGGGGGATTCTAGGGCAGAAGCTCTACCTCTGAGCCACACCCCAGGCCCTCACTGGGGGATTCTAGGGCAGAAGCTCTACCTCTGAGCCACGCCCCAGGCCCTCACTGGGGGATTCTAGGCAGGGGCTCTACCACTGAGCCATGCCCCAGGCCCTCACTGGGGGAGTCTAGGCAGGGGCTCTACCACTGAGCCACACCCCAGGCCCTCACTGGGGGATTCTAGGGCAGAAGCTCTACCTCTGAGCCACGCCCCAGGCCCTCACTGGGGGATTCTAGGCAGGGGCTCTACCACTGAGCCACACCCCAGGCCCTCACTGGGGGATTCTAGCAGGGGCTCTACCACTGAGCCACGCCCCAGGCCCTCACTGGGGGAGTCTAGGCAGGGGCTCTACCACTGAGCCACACCCCAGGCCCTCACTGGGGGATTCTGGGGCAGAAGCTCCACCACTGAAGCATGCCCCCAACTTCAAGAGAGTTTTACAAAAGTGTGAAAGTGTAATTTGCACATACATACTCTTGTGACTTGCACAAATTATAAATCTTGTATCTCTGAATTTTCACAAAGTAAACACACTTGTCTAACCGCTCCCTGTCCTGACACTGTCTCTCCTCCAGTCACTAACCTCCCTCCTTTGTACATAGAAACGGTGTTATACTGTGTGGTGTCACACCTGATGCCCTTTCCCTGGTGTCTTTATAAGATCCACGTGGTTTTGTGGCGTTCAGTCTCATGACAGTTTACGTACCCGTCAAATGTAGGTGGGCACTGGTTCTTGTTGTTATGAGTCATTGTACCAAGAAGATCATTTCGTGTAACTTTCTGGACCTTCTTTTGACGCTTCCATGGGTGTGTTCCGTGGAGTGGGGATGCTGTGTCATGCGTGTCTTGAGTTTTAGCAGAGGCCGCAAGCCTTTGCCAAAATGGCTGCACCGCTCGCCTTCTCCCCGCAGTGTGTGACCGAGCGGTCCATCATTCTCCGTTTTTCCTGGTGACAGCACATTAAGCTGCCACCGCCGATGGCAACAGCGTGGTGCCTTTGTTTGCGTTTGACCATCTTTGTGTGTCGACTGGCTGTCTGAAAAATCCTCTTCGGGGCTGTGTTTTGAGATATTGGAGCTTAAGAAGTGGGTGCACAACTGTGATCCTAGAATTGAGAGGTGAAAGCAGGATGATTTGAGTTCCATGCCAGTCTCATAGTGAGACCCCATCTCCAAAAAAACCAAGGGCTGGGGATGTGGCTTAGTGGTAAAGCACCTGTCGTGTGTCTGTAATGTCTGTATGACCTTTACGTTAATTTTGGAATTCCACTTTCTGGAGACGTGTCCTTTGCCTGAAACCATGCATCACGGACATCTCCTCTCCCTCTGTGAGTCACCTTGCCTATTTTCTAAAAGTTTTCTTCTTTTTTTAAAAATTTTATGTGCATGGGTGTTGTGCCCGCCCACATGTATGTCTGTGTGAGGGTGTCAGATCCCCTGGAACTGGAGTTACGGTTATGAGCTGCCATGTGGCTGCTGGGAATTGAACCCGGGTCCTTTGGAAAAGCAGCCCATGCTCTTAACCCCTGAGCCATCTCTCCAGATCCGAAAATGATTTATTTATTATGCTTAAATTTATTTTATTTTTATGATCTTATGTGTGCCTTAGTTAGGTTTCTGCTGCTGTGGTAAAACACCTTGATCAAGAGCAACTTGGTGAAGAAAGGGTTTAATCTTACAGCGTGTCTGTCTTATAGGGAAGTGAGACCGGAACGTGGATGCAAGGTCTGATGGAGGTCATGGAGGACTGATGTTCAGTGGCATGCACTCTATGGTGTATTTAGTGTGTTTTCTTACAATGCCTGGGACCTCCAGCCCAGGGATGGCACCACCCACAGTGAGCTGAGTCCTCCTACATCCACTGCTAATTAAGAAAATGCCCTCCAGGCTTGCCTACAGCCCAATTTTATGGAGATATTTTCTCCATTGATACTCCCTCCTGTCAGATGACTCCGGCTGGTGTCAAGTTGACATAAGAACTAGCCAGCACAGTGCATATGGGTATTTTGCCCTCGTGTATGTCTGGTTCCTAAAGAGGCTAGAGTAGAGTGTCAGAGCCTCTGAGACCAGAGTTACAGGTGGTTGTGAGTTACCGCGCGGGGCTGAGAATCAGACTCTTGCCTGTGAAAGAGCAGCGCAGAGCGAGCAATTGCTCCA